CGGCTGCGGCCCGAGGGCAAGGGGGTCACACAAGTGTCCTGTGAGTCAGGAACAGAAAGAAACACGTCTACTTGTTTTGCTTTGGAACTGACTCAGGTCACACTGTGCCCAAAATCACAACTGTGGTGTCAGCCTGTGGGAGTCCTGCCCGGCGTGGGTGGCACCCTGGTGTCATCCCCAGGTGCTTGCTCCAGTGAGACCCGTCCTGTCTGAGTTGCTGCCATGACCATGAGCAGCTTTCCTGGTCCAAGTGACCCTTCCAAGCAGAGTCCCTCACGTGCAGGTGGTGTTCAGCCACTGAGAACCACTGCATGGGTAATGTTTGGTCTGCAATAGAGTGACTGAAACATTTTTACCAGGGACCTGGGGAGCAGTGGGTAAAACAGAACATCTTTCCTGCCATGGAGGATTTGTGCTGGTGCTCGAAGGCACGAGACAAGGTGTGGCACCTGTGCCACGTTCACACACGTCGTGCTGTACCTGGGTTCAGTGAGAGCTGCAGCACCTCCCCCTCTGCTTTGCTCTGAGCAGGAGAAGAGCCAGGCCTTACATTGCCAGCAGGATTTCAGCAGACCCTGCAACTTGTTGGGCCACTGTGATATTGCTGTGGTGCTTTGGGGGCTGCCGATTAGAGTCCAAAATATACTTTTCAGACACTTCTCCAGGCTCCTGGAAAAATCCGTCTGTTTCTGAGCGTGATGTGGCACCCTGCTGGAGGACAGGCATGCAGGGCTGAGAACAAAGCACGTCAGGAAGTGCTGGAGAAGCTGATCTTGGAGAGAACATAAAACACCCCAGAGTCCTAGAGCACTTGCACTGGGAGGAGAGTTGAATTAATTCCCTAAAACATGCATCCATTGACAGTGCCAGAGCCTCCAGCTGAGGCAGCCCTGCCTGTCCTAAAGTTAGAGCAAGGGCTCACAATTTAGAAAAAAAACAACAAAAGTTTACTTATCCAGTCAAAGTCAGGCTGTTACTTTTTGCCACTCTTTTCTCTGTATTCTGGCTGTTCATTCAGCTTGTGCAAAGCGTCCAGCAGCCTCTGGGATTTGATGGACTCATCACATCTCCAACAATCAGAAATTATACATTTCAGTGGAGACCTCACGTTTGCAGCTTTATAACAGCTAAAAGCATTTCAATGGAGAGAAAAAATAAGTAGCTGCATGAGCTAAAATATTCTGCCAAGAAGTACCAAGAAGGTCAAGAAGATCTGGCTTCTCCACTCCCAAAAATCAAGATCATACCACTTCAGTAATCATAGCAAGGCCCTGAGATTTCACGTGGAGAGGCTGAACATGATGAGTTGCACTGGGAGTCTGCTCTGACCTCTCCCAGAGTCCTGAAAGAGCATCCCTTCCAGCTGCTGGCCACAGCTCCACCCAGGTCCTCTCTTACCATCCTTCTCATCTCATTGTCTCATTGTTTCTTCCCAGCTCAGGAGAGACAACAGTCTCCACTTCTGGTCTTTTGGGTGGGACAGAAGACAGGGTGGTTCCTAGGAGTGTGCTCTCCAATCAGACACCTTCACAGTCCCAAGCCTCAGCTACTCCCCATCAGTGCTTGGCCTCTTCCACCCCGAGTGCCAAAAGCAGAGGAGTGGCCGCTGCAACGGGGCTGTTCTTTCCATGGGAAGGGCTGTGGGGAGAGGGAAAGGGTCTTTGCATGCCAGGCTGGGAGAGGAGCTAGGAGGAGGACGGGCATTTGGAGGCCTGCTGTCAGTTTGCTGCCCGTTTCCCATGGCTGGCAGCCAAGCTGGCACGGTGCTCAGGGTATTTAGGGAGTCGAGCACAGTGGCCAGGTGTGCTGCAGGCCTTGCACTGTAGGCTGAGAAAAAGCCAGGAGCAGGATGATATTTGTACCCTTTTACTCGTCTCTCATGTCACACGTGAGAGACTTTCACCTCAAGTGACAAGAAACAGGCACGAGGGACTTGGTACCTTGCAGAGAGCAATGGCAAGTGCAGCCCAGGAGCGAGTAGCTGCTCTGCTGCCCTGCTGCCCCAGGCTCTGGGCAAGGCTGGCACAGTCTGTGCCTCGGCCCTCTGAGGGGTCCTGGAGCCCCACACAGGCTCTGCAGGGCCAGCACAGCCCCGCTCACTGCAGGGCTGCTTAGTTCAGATGGCTGCCCTGCACGCTGATAAGATCCTGCATCAAACTGCTGCACTATATGGAAGATGGGGTTTAATTTATTATTTTTTGAAAGATAAAAGCAACAGTTTGTGGCGTAGCACGTTAGCCTCTCTTCACAGAGGGAGTTGTCACTGAGGGTGCTGTTGGCAGCTCTGAGCAGCTGCTCTCCTGGGGAAGCACCGTGGTCATGAGTCCATGGGGGAAGGAAAAGCCACCTCCAGAGGCTCACTCCATCCGTGCTGCCCATGCTGAGTTCAGGGCTCTGCAGGTACTGGAGCCACTGGTTCAACACTGGGCAAAACCTGGAGCACCAAGCTGGTGGCAAAGGGAGCTTTCTTTCCAAAGCAACACCTTCCTCTGTGGATACAGTGTCAGGACAAGAAGTTTGCACCATTTTCCTTCCCTTTTGGTGCACCTCCCCTTTTCTGTCCAGAAGGATGGACATAGGAATGAGATAGGAATATGAAATACATGAGAAATGAATGAGATAGGAATAAAGTTCCTTCAGCCATTCATCTAGCTGGTGGAACTCTGTTCTAGCTGTGAACAACACAGGGCCTCACAGATGCTCCCCAGCTAGGAGGGGAGTCAGAATAGTATTGCTTCTGATGGAGGGGAGCAGAGACAGACTCCACAGAACGTGAGGAGTTAGTTTTAGTTTCCCATGCAGGGCAAGCTTCCTGCTCCACTACAGGTAACTGTTTATTCACCTAGAATTTCTGAAGTCCTGCTTTCTTACCCACATGTACATCACACACATGCCCTCCCATGTTACAAGGTGTGAGTGTGCCTGGTTGGGTGTCAGCACACACCCACCAGGGACTGTGTTGTGGTACCTGAACAGGCAGCAGACTGGCAAGTGCCCGTTCAGCTGAAGAAGCAGATATCTGTGGGCAGAGCATGCATCAGGCACCTTCTCCTCCAGTAACTGCATCCCAGAGACCTGCCTGCCACAGACAGCCCATCACTTAACGTCACCATAGCAGCTACACAAAAGATCTTGGGATTTAAAGGAGGTTTTCTGGGACAAGCCATTTCACCAGAATGTTGGGTTGGGTCAAGCATTTGCATCTGCTCCCCTAAGCCAGCAGATGTCCCTGTCCTCAGCGCGGTACTTAGCTGGGATTTCTCTCTCTTTGTGGTGGAGCCAGCAGCCCCACAGTGTGGTCCAGCGGCGCCTGGTGGAGGGCAATCTGAGCAAGCTGCGAGGCCAGCCCAGGGCTCAGTCTGCAGGGGTTCAGTCTCCGCTGGCACAGCACCAGGAGGAAAAGGTGAAAAAGGGAGAGGACAGGAGAAAAGAGACTTCAGCCCTGCTAATACGGTGCCAGGTAAGGCAACGACGTGAATGCTGCTGACTTCACAGGGATGGAATGCTCAGGGAGCTCCAGCTGCCCCACGCCCAGGGGCCATGCTGAGGGATGAACTGCCAAGCCAGCCGCAGGCAGAGAGGACAGATTTCCTGCCTGGCCTCCCCTGGAGCTTGGGTCCAGCTCTTCCAGCAGGCAGAGGAAAGCCTTCTTCACACATCCATGTTACTTGTCCATATTTGACACAGATTACCTTAATGCCACCTCCTTCCTTTGAGGCTGGCTTTGCCACTGGAAGAGCTATCTCCTACCTGCACGTACAAACAAGGAGTGTCTCCTTAGCACTGTGAGGCAGGTGCCCCTAGTTGATATACACATACTGGATCCAGGCTGGTCTGATTCTCCCGGGTATAAAAGGACCTCCTGAGACAGTGGTAGCTGTGCTCTGAATTGGCACTGTTGCACTTTTTGATGGAAGCAGCATTTTTAGCTTCCTTTTCTTATGGCCTGCTGTGCTGCAGAACACACTCCTTCCTGGCCCCTGCAGGTGAGGAAGCTCTTCCAGAAGCTGTGCCCCTGGAAGAGGGCTGCATGGTTAGAGCTGCTCAGTAATATGCAAATATGAAGCTCACCAAGATGTAGACCTGGACTACAAAACCCATTTTAAGTCTGTGTTTATTTCAGTTACCTGTCCTAAAGAACATCTCCCGTGCCAGAGTGTGAAGTGTAGACTTCCAGAAAAACACAGACTTGTGTAAATTCAGGTGACACAGTTAATTAGCACATGAACACAGCCTGGCAGCAAGCTTCTGAGATGTTCAGATCAGGTGTGTCAGTACCGTGCAGAGCCTCTGCCTGGTGGGTTTTCCAGCCTTTCTCTGCTGCAGGTAGGCATTGCTTCCCTGGCTGTTAGACTTGGAGGTAGCCAGGTTAGCATGACCCTGCTCAGGAAGGCAGAGCAGTAGGATGGGCAGCTCTCGGTGTCGTTTCTCTCAAGTCTTTTTTTCAGCAAATGAAGTTGTTTCTCTTTCTTTAATCACCAGTCTGTGTTGTTCTGTAAGAGGAATCTCGTTGATACAGGGTGGGTTTTTCCAGGCACATACATTGAACAAGGACAGGGATGCAGAGGCACCAGATGGCAGGCGCAGGAGCCAAGACAGTGCTGAGTCCACTAGTTGTTCCCCTTTGTGTTTCCAGTGGACTGTTCCCCAGCTGTCACACACGTTGGATTTTCCTTCGTGGAGGAAGGTTAATGAAGATCACAGTCAAGGAAACAGGCCTCACACTGCACTTAGCTCTGCCTGAACTCAGTACCTTCTGCACAGGCATTTCCCCCTTCCTGTACCCTTCATGAGAGCCAGTCACTGTTTGCCACACTTAACCTTACACTGAAGGCAGGAAAGCTCTTCTCTTCTTTTCAGGCTTGCTGCTTTTCATGTTCACACTGGTGACCTTCAAAAAGCCCTGCTTCTGAGTTACAGACCTAGGGCAGGAAACAGCCTCAGGCTGCCAGTGCCTTCTAACCACCGAGGTGAGCTGGTACCTTTTGGAGGACTGCTTGGCTGTGGTGTAGCTTTAGCTGGAGATGGAACATGACCCCAGTGAAGTCTCTTTTCTGGCAGCAGCTCTCAAGAAAAGACCATCTGCCAGCATAAAACTTTTGTTTGCACTCAGGCAAGTGCGCTGAAAATTTCCAAGTGGTACCAAATGCATCACTGGCCAGGGATTGAGCTTGGGTAGGAAATAAAGCTGAGTATAGGTAGACTTCAGTGGTACAGGGACATTCAGGCAAGAAGTGTCTTCACCCTAACAAGTGAGGGTTGCCCTGTGCCTAGGGCCTTTTCCAGTCTGAGGGACACAGACAGACCTGGTCTGTAATGGTTGTACAACAGTCAGTCTGCTCTTTGCTTGGGAGGGTTGCTCACGCTGTACTTCAGCAGAACTGCCCCTTTTTGTGGCAGGTTTTGCAAAGCACTTTGGACAGTTTGTTGTGACTGGCACCTGCAACATCAAGTCAAGCTGTTATTTTTTGTGGTGGGGCTCCTCTCGTGCTGATTTGGAAGCAGACACTGCAGGATTCCACTGCTCTCCAAGGCTGCTTTTGTTGGTGCCAAAGCAGCCTGGGATTAGTCAACCTCTTTTTGTTAAAACACCTTGTGGACTTGGGAACTGACATGATTTCAGGAAACACAGCTCTTTATGAATACTGATCCTGATTGATTCCACTCCTCTTGTGTTGTTCCCTGGAACTCTCCATAACTGTCCTTTAGATAAAGACTAATGGTGACTGGTAGGAACAGACTGAAAATTCTGGGGCAGAGATGAGAGTGGGTCATGTGGTGAAAAATCCTCTCAGTCCAGGAAGGTTTGCAGTGCTCATCAGCAGCCCGTGTGCTCCTTACCTGTCTGCACTGTGCTTATGCTGTGCTGGACAAGGACCTTCCTCGGGCTCCCTGGGCAAATGGTCAGTGGTGTCACTAGAAGGTGGACAGCTTTTGTCAGGCTGCTGGAGCTGATAACTGTGCAGGGCTGGTTAATACTGAATGAGATTAAATATTCTTTTCTAGAATAATCACTGCCCTGTGGTACCCTGGCAAGTTTCTAGCTTGCAACTCTCCCAGCCTGCTCTGGAAGATGATTCCAGAAGCTGGCTGGTGACACAGGGTAGGTTTGTTATCCCAGCAGTGCCAACACGAGCATCTCGTGCCTCTGCCTGCCCCCAGGGTGGTTCCTCACCTGTTGCTGCCCCCAGGGTGGTTCCTCACCTGTTGCTGTCTGTGCTCCAGGGCCCGTTTGAGGAAGGACACAAGGCCCTTCCTGTGGCTGGGCAATGGGTGGGTGTCTGCCCTGAGCCAGGGGTGGTGCCTGCTCCCCAGCACAGCCCCTGCCTGGGTTCGGCCGGGCGCCGCTGGCAGGTTGCAGGCTGGGCAGATGTGGCAGCACAGCTGGAACCCGTGGCTGACA